ATAGTCTATAATGCACAATGATGGATTTAAGAAAAATATATTATCGAGAACAAGCCATTAATCAAACAAGCAATAAAATGCTGAGTCTGACTCTGACATGAATGCCATTCCCCTTTAACACTACCAGTGTTTCCTCTACCTTCATTCTCCCGTGGCGGGCCGCCACACTTAAAATCCTCCCGCCACGGTTGCAGCTTCTCAGTGACGTCCGATATTCTGCATAGTATTATGTTATTTTGTTAAGCCCCACTAAAGGCATAAAAAACTTTGTAAAGCACAATCAAGTTTTCACCCTATATTCCAAGACTTCTAAAGTCATTGTATAATGTGTAATTTTAGTCGCTAAGTTAAAGTTAACGGAAAGTCATCTCGCCTCAGTCATTCTTCATTCAGAATTCAGCGCGTCGCGTTCGTTTGCGACACGACGACACTCTCTTCAAGGTCAATATTCCCATTATTATACTTTATTTGTAGATAAAGCATAAAGTAGATGGTTTTCATAAAATGACTTTATCTTGCTGGAGTGGAGTTTATTGCCCTTTCACATTCCCTTCTCCCGGGTGTATGTGAGATTACAGCATAGAGTCGAGAGAGTGCTATTGTTCTTCATGCGCACTGAAATTTAAAACTGTTAAAAGAAAAGGCTCAAAAAACTGTTGCATATAGAATACACTAAGCATTAGTGCTGCACGATTAATCAAATCGCAATCGTAATAGCGATCTCAAACCTATGCAATTATATAACGCAAAATGCCGCGATTTTATATGAAATAAACAAATTAGGGCTATTAACGCAGCATCTCTTCATTTTTGTCATCCTTTGACTAGTGTTACACGATCCCGCTCTTATTCGTGCAAATGCCTTTTCGCATTTTGCACGACAAGAAGTGAAAAGCTGCCTGTGAATGCCCTAAATGAGACTCGCAGAAAGACGCGCGCCATAATGCGCATGCACTGACGCGTGCCAGAATACAGTTCTCTTTCGAGCTTGAACGAACAATAACACACACAATTATGCCAAAATGTCGTTTTGTCGAGTATCTTCATAACGTAAGAAAAGTCTTATGGACGAAAAGAGTTGTGCTATGAGGCGCATGTGAGATCCGCGTCTCGGCAACGGGTGCTCTTAAAGGGCCAGCAGCGAATAAAGCGTTCTGTCAGTAAAGTTAAAAGAACAAAGGGAAATTAGAAAATTACTCACTGATCTTGACTAAAGAACTTTTGTAGCTTTAATAAGGATTATTCTATATATAATTTATAATTCATGCAGCGCAGACTGTTTGATAACTTTATTCAATTTCTGTATCCTACCTGTTAATGGCCGGTTCACATATCGCGTCTTTTGCGCGCTCAAGTTCGTTATTTCAAATGTAGGCGCGCGGTATGCGCGCTCATAATGGAAGCGGTGCGGTCGCGGTGCGACGCGCTCGGTTTTTCCATGCGCGTCCGCGCCGCGTCGAGATAAAAACATCTCAACTTTTCAGAATACCGCAAGCGCACCATACGCACACAATAGGTCATGTGAAGAACCAACTGAAGCGCAACCGACCTGGCGCTTTGTAAAATGGAGAATGCGGCGCGCCCAGCGTTTTCTACGCGTTTTTAGGCGCTATATGTGAATCCGGCCTAAGACAGGAAGGGCACAGGTAAATATGGTTTTTATTATGGGTTTATGTGGGGATTGTTTGAAGTTCACTTAATTTAAAAGTTGTTAAAAAAATTTTTTAGCCTAATAATTTTTTTAAAAAAGTTGATAGCTTTCACTGTAATGATGGTTTGGTTGGTTTATTGATCATTATAGGTGTTATCAATCATTTAGTTGTTGTTTTTAGTTTGAGTTGAGAAATAAACATTAATACACAGAATGATCACTAATCTGTGTGTGCATTTTACTTTAGAACCAAGCAAGTTGGACTCATGAAAGCATTTTATTATATCGGAATCGCATATCACAATTGCAATATTGACCTCAGTAATGGCAATATGACATTTTCCCCAAATCGTCCAGCCCTACTAAGCATATTATAGATCTAATCCCTTCGCTATGTTCTTTTCAATGTGAAGCGTTGCGTGCTGTGACTTGGTGTTGCTTCAAGTGCATCATTCTGCACACGGGATGCGCATGATCGATTATAATAGAGACAAGGGGGCGTGGCCTAAGTGAAATGGGCCTGCCCCCACAGCTTGGAAAAATCCTAGAGGAAACACTGACTACGTTATTGTGATGAAGTGATGTCAGCAACATTGGCTATTGGGCAGCATGGCAGAAAAAGCTTCAATAAATGTGCCACCAGTGTGGATGCAGCTGAAACAATTAGGGTAATTCTACCTCTGCTAACGGGCTCAGGGCCAGCTAACTCCCTCTCCCCACCAACCGTATGATACAATCACACAATCTTTTAACCCTTCAACACTCTCAGGTGACTCGCAAGAGAGCTTGGGAAACATTATGTTAGCAATTATGTCAACAAGATGAAAAGAAAAAAATTCCACTGTAGCTGTTTTAGATTTGGTCAGATGTATCTTGGCCTGTGGTTTCCTAGTAAGAGAAACAAAAATGCAAATAATGCCTATGCAAAGCAACAGCTAAATTCTGCTTATTCATCAAGGTGGGGAAAGATAAGCAATGCTTGCTGACGCACTTGATCTCAGGTGCCAGTATCTGCTCTCAACACCCCGATCATCATTAGACAGACACACATAAACATACCAGTATCAAGGCCTGTCGGACTGATTGTCAGATCACTGGAGCAGTTAGGTGATTATGACTGCCAGAAAAAATAAAGAATATACTGACATAAACCTTAAATAACCAATCTAAGACTCTGAAGCGTTACATTAGCGAAATTTCTGTTCATTTTCATGGGCAAAAATATGTCTATTGTAGGGCTGTCAAACGATTAATCGCGATTAATCGCATCCAAAATAAAAGTTTGTGTTTACATAATAATATATGTGGGTGCACTGTGTTGCAATTAATTGCGATTAATCGTTTGACAGCCCTAGTCTATTGTCAGTACTATTGTAGCGATGTATGGGCCTGTTTACACCTGGTCACTTCATGAATTTTCTCAGATCGGACAGCTATCCGATCTTGAAAAGACCAAGTGTAAATGCCATCCGAAACGCATTTGAGACCGATTAAAATCCAATCACTCAAGCCACTTCAGGAGTGCCTGACACCTATTCCAGACGAAACTGGACATGTATAATGCATCTAGTTATTGAAACCACATGTAAATCACACAATATGTAAAGCTTACTTTTGGTAAACACAGAGAATCTGCATGCCCAGTTTGAAACAATTGCGAAATCTGCCTCAGTAAATCTTTCACTCTAATGCAGAATTCTCCTATTACATGAATTCCCATTGAAATTACTGGATTTTGACAGTGAAACACTTCCAGTTGAAATAGTGAAAGATTCCAGTTGTTTAATTGCCAGTGAAAAATTTGTCAGTGTTTTTAAAAAAGTTTATTTAACATCTTTTATCTTGGGTGCTATGTAAAATGCTGTGTCATGTGTGAGATATGGCAAAAGACTTGAGATACGAGTACAATGGTTCTAGATATCTATCTAGTGCGTTAACATAGAATAACAATGGCACATTCCTGAACAAGGTGAACAAATGCCAGCGATAATACTGGCATTTGCGAACAGCACAACATACAAAAGCTCAAAACTGATGCCATCACATATCATTAATGTAAATATAGGAAATATTGCTTCAAAATCATGATTAAAATTGAAATTGCAATATTGATCAAAAAATGGTGATAGTATTTTTTTTTATCCATATCGCACAGCCCTAGAAGTTAACCACCTGAGACAGTCCCAGCCAGCAATATTCAGATTTAGGTTTTTTTTTTTATAACAAATTCTCAAAATGTATCCTTGGTTCCCACCAGCATTAAATGGATAATTTCCCCAAAAATGAAAATTATTAGCCTACATCGACACCTGACCCTCATGTCATTCCAAAGCTGTATGACTTTCTTCTGCAAAATGTATTGCCCATTGAGTTTCATGGTAGACTTTAATAAATAAATAAAATTGAAAAAATTAAAAGATTTTCTGTTCCACAGAAGAAAAGAAAGTCATACAGGTTTGGAACAACATGCTGGTGAGAACATGATTAAAGATTTTCATTTTGGGGGAACAATCCACTTATTTGTTTACATCCTTGATGAGGAAACACTTACAGCTGACAGGGACTGTCACTGCCTTATATCAAATCAAACATGTATGCATAAAGCACTTTAAAACGACCAAAGTAGACCGAAAATTCTCAAGACTTATAGAATTCTTCAATTACATTACAATTATTGAAGAAGAACATTCACTTCCATAAAATCACCAAATCCATACAAGTAACACCAAATAGTGTAGGCCTAATAATAACTAAAGGTAAAAGGGAAGAAAATGACTGCTTAGAAAAAAAATCAGATTTCTATGTGTCAGGAAAAGCACTTCCACTGTCAGCTTAGGAAGAGATAAAGTGCGATAGGCTACATGATACATACTATGGAGGTGTTGAGAAATGTTGACAGATTAGTGAAATCTGTTTATCAGCATGGACGCTTCTGCACCACCCAGATTAGTTACACTTCCAGTAGGCTGCTAGTCAGATGTTGACTGTGTGTCAAAACCCAGTGAGATGTCCACTCTCAGACGATTTAGGGAAACTTGATCGCTTGGGAAAGCGAATATGATGCAGACAAATCTAAGTAGACAGCTGACAATGTTTTGTGACACAGGCACTGACAACAACATTACACCAATAAAACAAAGACAGGACCAAACAGCCAGCCCCACCTTCATCATCCAAGCCCTTTACAACAGCAACATCACAGCTATGTGAAATAACAGGTTGAGGCTTGTTAGCTCGCAGAAAGAGTTCATATGTGGGCTTAACTAGCTGGCTAACGCTGCTAACGCTAGCTTAGCTCTGCCGCGTAACTGACTGACCGCCGATAATCGCTGAAGCTCAAACCTCTTACCTCTTTTAACGGCCTCGTCAAACGAAAGGAAGCCTATCCGTGACTCTTTGGCGCCCATGGTGCCCTCATTTCATTGCAATGGCAGAAATGTGTAGAGTGTGACCGGTGCCTGTTGCCTTGTTTTGCGTTGTTGTTTTTTTTGTTTTTGTTCCCCCCCTCTCTCTCTCTCTCTCTCTCTCTCTCTCTCTCTCGGTATGGTGTTCCTCAAGTCAAGCGATAGAGTTTAGCGTTATCAACGAGTGACGCGTCTAAGCGACGACGCCTCCATACTTGATCACGTGACATTTGTCCAATCAGAATGGAGGGGGCGTACGAGCGTCAGTTTCACGCAAGAAACCTATGCAAGAAACGCACAACGCATAGAAGCTTTTAGCGTTCGCCCAGAGCTGGCTGTCAAGTCTTCGACTTTATATCTGTGGTTGATATTAGCTTTCTTGTGTGGAGCCAGTTTTACGAATTTGCACCTTGTTGCATCAGCCCAAAAACATCACTTTCCCAGCACATTGTGTGTATGTAAATAAAAGTATTAATATGGAAATAAAATGGTTGAAAGGATGACTTTAATAAACCAATAAATAGCTTTTTCATTGGTGGTCAGTTTAACATAGGCTATTTATGTGGAGGCAGCACATTTTTGCTCAGAAGAGCCCTCAGCTATTTTTATTCGTTTCATCACCCACCAAAAATATTATTCATATGTGTTAATGGGTAGTTTGAAACATTTTGAGTCATATACATTATTTGTATGCTTTAAAATATCGTAATTAAGTTTGTTACCTAGAAGCAGCATTGTTTTATTCTGCTATTTTTTTTTGTTTTATCTCAGTTTTATTTTAATTTACGAAAACCTTTTGACTTATTTTTAAGGAATGTATAATCTATACAAAATCAGATCTGACAAGTAATTATGCAAATCAGTGCACATATTCATTTTTTTCGCTAATCTTTTATGAATCTAATATCAAGCTTCTGGACGCTTATCTTTTAGCGCCACCTATGGAATTTATTGTGTTACAACACGAATGACTCTGCACAGCAGAGAAGATGGACTCTTTTGGATTGATTTAAATGTTAATGATCATAGGGTGACAAATGAATCTCCAATATTGAACACAAATCAGTTTCTGACGTTCTTAGAAGAAGTAATTGATTGCTCAGAGTCAGCGCAAATATCTAGAAAGAATAAATATCAATGGATTGGACAATGCAGGTTAGAGTAAGTATCAGTCTCAGATATAAAATTGAAAACATAGTGTGTGTAGACCGCTTTTATTCAGTATAGTGATTAATGATATTTTTAAGAATGTTGAGCCAAGTATGGGTACTAAATCTTGGACAATGGTGCAGTATGGATGAGAGGACGAAACATTATGAGCACTGCAAATAAGGTCCATGTGCAAATGAATGTGCATGGAGATAAAAAGTTGACTTATATATATGGAGAAACTGATTACAAGGACCAAAAGAGCATTACATTTTATGAGATGTCAGGTAATGTGATTGGGGTCAAGCTGCAGTTCACTCAAGGACAAAGAACATGTATTGCTCAATTATAAGATCAGGAATTGATTATGCTGTATGGAACAGCAAGTGATACACAACAGATGTAACGCACATGCAGGCTCTGAGAATGTTTTCAGGGGGTTTTACTTCTCTTATGAAGGAAAGTTGAAATGGGTGAAATGCCTATAGAAGTGGGATGGCAACAAATATGAATGATTGATATCATTAATAGGACTTATACACAAAACTCTGTGTTTTATGAGAGTTGGGAACACAGTCAAGGCAACATCAAGAGCAAAGGATGAACAGGAAATAGAACGGCGAAAAATAATGGGTCTAGATCAGTAGAAATACACTCAAAGTGTGCCATGGTCATTTCCTATGCCTTGCATAGATTCACACATTAAAGGAAATAAGGTCACGGCCACGGCCAAGGTCATTTAGTGAATCAATACTTAAAACAAAAATACTGTAATATCTGAGATATTTTACAGATGGATCAAAAGACCCAGAATCTGGAAAAGTAGGAACAGCAGTATATGTTCCAAAATTAGATAGCTGTTAAAAAAGAGTATATCAGGCAATTTAATGGTCTTTATAGCTGAGCTTGCGGCAATCTGGCTCTACAGTGGGTAAAAGAAATTAGGCTAAGGTAATTTCTTTCACCCACATTTTCTTAAATTTAAATGTCTTCCCTTTTTCCTCTATCCCACATTTCCTGCTAGCCCATATATCAATAGCTTTTCTGATGCTTGGTTTCAGATTTGCTCATGAGAATTGTGATTTCAACTTTATTGCATTTTAAAGAGTTTTTTTTTCTTGTCTCATTTCCTTCCATTCATACATGAAATAAATATATATAAGATATATAAGAAATATATTTAAGAAAACGTGGGTAGCCTATAGAAAGACGATTCACAACAATATTAAGGGAAAAAAAGAAGAAGAATCGATTATAACAAGATTAGCTATGTATAGGTCATAGGCTACTAAAACCATACCCATAAAATAAAAAGCATCATAATGGGTTTTGCAGTTATTGAAATGTAGAAGAGTATGAAAATGAAAGACGATGTTGCTCCTAAAATTGCAGCAAAAAGTAATCCATATGGCATTAAAAAAATCTGTTGCAAAAAGGTATGAAAGATAAGGTTTTGCAATGGGCTACATTAAAGCAACACGATTATATTTGAGAATATAATTAAGTAAGTAAAGTAAATATTGAATTTATATTTTCTACTGTTTTCTTTTTAATATTATTATTATTATTATTATTATTTAAATTGGTAAGGGTCCTTCCTCCTTGCTGTTCCATAGCCTACTCCAGTTCAGTTTGTGGCGGTAACACACCTACAAGCTAGTTTGTCAACCGTCAATAAACAACAAGAAGAAGAAGAAGAAGAAGAAGAAGAAGAAGAAGAAGAAGAAGAAGAAGAAAACAACTTTTCCATTTTCCACAAGGTGCGCTGTCATGTAGGCTAAATAAGAAGCGAGTGACCGTTAATATAGACACGTGGCGGCAGCAGCAGAGAGCATCACTTAATGCGAAATGGGAATTCATGTCTTGCTGTATGTGCCTAATGTAATTGGTGAGTAATTATGCAATTCGTGACTTCGATGCAATCATTTCAGCCGCATAATTCATTTTAGAGAATCAAAAATATATCCCTTAATTCATGACGCATTCAATCAGCAAACGTTCCCCAAGGATGGTCTCTATTTACGATACAAAACTGTTTCTTTTTTATAGGTTATATCCGGATTCTTCTTGTTCTCAGTTCCTGGATACTGTATAGTTACCCTGAGAATTTTGTACCCTTGTATGTGTTATCAATTATATTGGATGGTAGGTATTTACATTAAAACTAGAGAAATTATAGCCTGTGCACTCTTAAAGATAAAGGTTCATTATTAGCGTCTGTGGGTTCATTGAAGAACCTTTAGCATCAAATCATTTAAAGTAAATTATAAACCAAAGTAATTGTGCATATCATTTTTGTTAGATTTCATGCTACATGGTGAAGCTTTACTTTCCTTTATTTTTATTTATAATTCATTCTCAGTTTGACAATGTATATCACTTTGATATCAGTAATATTTGATATTAAATTGATATGTATATCAATTTGAACATCACTGCAGCTTAAAACCTTGGTGAACAAGGTAAGGTAAGGTCATTTATTTATAAAGCACAATTAAAAACAGCGGTAGTTGACCAATGTGCTGAACAATTTTTTGAAAACATGCCAAGGGCTAAAATTTGTTAAATTATTAGTTTAAGTATATTTAACAAATGCTCGTATTTACATGAATTGATTTAGTGTTTTGACTTTGTGGCAGGGGTGGACGGCTGGGTGGCACGTAAGCTGCAGCAGACCTCCAGGTTCGGTGCATGGCTAGATGTGGTCATTGACAATGTAGGACGTGGCATGCTCTGGAACATGCTTTTTGATGTAAGTTCAGGCAGTACTTGTTTGTCACGAACATAACTGTATTAGAAATGTTCACGTTGTACTCTGTGCTTGTGAAGTGGGGCTGGCTGGTGTCTTCATTAGAGTGGTGTGTATTTGTGTGCAACCACAATGCCAGAGGTGCCCAGTGGAAGACCACTTTCACAAAGAGCCCAGTTTGGGTGCAGGCAGTGATGGCAAAAGGTATCACAAGTTATTTGTTTTTTTGTTGTTGTTTTTTTTGGAAGAGTTTTGAAAGCACAGCATGAATAGTGTTATTTTTCACACAGGCTTCAAGACACCTTTGGGAATCCTGACAATAGCAGGTCTCCATGTTTTGCCTGTGTGGCTGTATTGCTACCAGCATGAGGTGCTGTCTCATGCTCTCTATGCCCCATACTGGATACAGACTCTGGGGATTCTGGTGCTGGCAGCAGGACGCTTGCTGTGCTTTGCAGTTGAGGTAAGGAGCATGTTTACCCAATATTATCATAAATTATGGCTATTGTCCCATGTCCACATTATTTTACTGTCCAATAGAGGCATCTGTGTAATTATTCACATGTCCTTTTGCAGATGTGGTGCATTGTAACCCATATGAAATTCTTATTGTTGGATGAAGAGGAAGAAAAGAAGAATTAGGGATATATATATATATATATATATATATATATATATATATATCAATGTGTGTGTGTGTGTATATATATATATATATATATATATATATATTATACAAATAATATTTTGTATTAAATATTAATCTAATATATAATGTTCAAAAGTTTAAATACTGCACTTCCAGTACAGTATAACAGTAATATTATGAAATATTATCAAAATTTAAAATAACTGTTTTCTTTCTGTTTTCAACAATTCTTATTGTTGGATGAAGAGGAAGAAAAAAAGAACTAGGGATATATATTATGAAATATTATTAAGATTTAAAATAACTGTTTTCTATTTGAATATATTTATAAAATGTCAAAAGCTATCATTCTATGCTGTTTTGCTGCTCAAGATTTCTCGGTGGGGAACTGTGATTTTTTTTTTTTTCTTTTATGAATGGATAATTCAAAATTAAAGCATTTATTTGAAATAAAACTCTTTTGTAACAACGAAAAAAGTATTTACTGTTACCTTTGATCAATTTAATGCATCTTTGCTTTAGGACGGATACAGTAATTTGAGAGGATTTCCTAAAAATGAAACACCTGGTCATTAATTTTACAGAGGTACACATGCTGAGTACAGTCTTTTATTCAATTTTTTGTTCAGCCACCAATACACCCGAACGAGTGTTTTTTGTAGGATCTCATTGCATTCAAGTCATAGACTCAAACATATCACAGACTTCAGAAACAGGTGAAGAATAATCATGTAAAGGCCAAAAATAAAGCAATTTTAATACTTCAGAAGCAATATTGCTCATTGTGGTCTATAAAACAGCTCTATATTGTTTTTTTGTGTTAGAAGTAGTTACAGATTTTCACAATGGTGGATACAAATGAGTTTAATAATGATTTGGTGGTTACAGATGTACAATGTACAGCAGACTCTACTGGGAGTGAGTTACATAAAGCCAATGACTGAAGAATATCCAAACAGAGGCTCACTGTGGCACAGGTTACTGACATCTCCAGGGTAACAGTCAGTATATCAATGTTAAACAACACAATTTTCCTCCTTTTTTTAGCCAAACGCTCCTAGAGTGTCTCCAATGGATATAGACAGGAACAGGTCTTTAAAACAAAATCATAAAAAGGTCACATCCACTCATAGGTCGTTACTTAAAGGAACGCCATTGTCCGTCTGAAACAGCACTTTGGCTATATCACAATCTACACGTGTCAGCACGTCCAATGACTTCATTTATGATAATTACCATCAAAAAGGCCCCACTTTATTGTTATCAACCCGTAAATACATTCTTCAACTCTGAGGGCAGATTTAGAAGAAAAGAGAAGGGTTGTAGAGACAGGATTGCTGTTATTGTCAGAGGATGCTTTTTATTAATTGCTGTGATCACTTTTGAGTCGCAAAGTTCATTGTTCTCTTGTTTCGTGGGACATTAACTGCTCAGTATAAGATTGTTTTTCTGTCACTATGGAGCTCACTGGGACAAAAACCACTTGTAGCTATGCATCTACTTCTATATACAATTATTTAAACATGCAAAGAAAGAGAATGTTTGACCCATAAGCACCTTTGTTTTTTGGGGGACTGTGGCCTATTCTGACTTAAAAAAAAACCAGTATGGATTTGATCAACAGTGATCAACCATCTTTCTAATTATGAAATGCCACTTGAGGTTGACGAAAGAGCCCTTGAATCGACATTCAGAAGGAAGCAGTCAGAGCTACGCAATTCTTTCTACATCCACCAAGCTTATTTCCCATGTGCATTATTTTCACATCTGATATTCAAACTGTCATCTGAAATGACAACTCCACTAATATAGTCAATGGAAATGCACTTATAGCAAGTTTACAAGATCACAGTTTATTTGTTTCAATATTCCATCTCTCTAACCAAGGCAAATTCCCATCCTTCCCTTGCTGTGTCTTTATGGTGTTGAGAGTGCCTGATTCTTCACAATCAAACCCCAACCTTAACAATAAAGGGATTTTTAATGAGTGAAATAACGTCCCATGTTCTAGCCGATCTCTTGCTCGGTTTACAGGGCGAAAGGTGTTTGAAATTTCGGCCAAAGTAAGCTATTTGAAAAAGGCTGACAAATTAGATCCCCACCAGCTGAGAGTCCTTTAAGACTAAGGCTGGGACTTCAGCTCGAGCTGGGGTCCTGGTGCTGCAGCCGTGATCGAGGGCTAAAAAAAAGCTGCAAGACGTTAACAGCACATTCTACATGACTAGCCTGAAGCAAGGCTTTGTTTCAGCAAAAAAGCAATGAGTTCACTATGAGGTGTGAGAAAAAAAAAGAATTGCCAATTTGATCGCAACAGTCCTCATTCAACTTGAAATGTTCTTCTTGTCAACTTGGTTACGAGTCCGAGTGGCTTTTGGATATTTGACAAAGGAACGGCAGTGAAATGAGTCGGACTGATTGGATTTGGAGTGTGGTACAGGTGCATTCAGCAAAATATTGCACTGCTACTGTGTGGATTCACACCCCTGCGCACTATCCCGCAGTTTTACAATGACAGGTGCTGCACTCAGCCCTTTTTTTTGGTGTGTCCAGTCAGCTGGCAGTGGGCCAGGGGTGTTAATCTACGCCACCCGGGGCCGAGCTCTGAAAGGAAAACAACAAAGACCTGGGTAACCTGGTCCCGTATCCATCACCGCTCCAGCTTATATTGTGTGTGTGGATGAATAAGGCTTTGCTATGACAGAAAGCCAGCTTTGTTAACTTGTCCTCCCACTCCGTTTAGGTAATATTATGGCAATTTACTGTGGTCACACACTTATTATAATTATTAACAGAAGTTATTTTGGCTCATCTGTTTGCAACGTTACACCTACAAGTTGTAGCATACCTTGCATATAAATTATTGGCAGTTTAAAATAAGCTATGTCAGTACTAAGGGAATACAAAACCAGAAATGAACTTAAAACAAGGTATCTAGAGCATTCGTAAACCCACTGGTCCATTAATTCCACACATGACATGAATTAATAATAAAAAAGCAAACATAAACACAATGGTCCATAATGTAACATGGCTGGTCTCATTTTCCAGAGAGCACACAGGTAATCCTCAAATGCAAAGCTTTGCATTACATGAAGTCAAGCTCTAATCCTCGTGTTAATGGGGACACGGACATCTACGGATGTTCCTTCACTCGGTAATAGAAACGGCGGAGCTTTTATTTCGTCAAATCTCCTTCTGTGGGTGCAAGCACAAATTTCTGTAGTGTGGAACAACTCTCCTTCAAATACAAAATAAAAAATAACAGAGGGTGCGTTTTCAGTCTTTGTTGGACCTCTGTTTTTTTTTTTTTAATTCAACTCCACTTGAAGTCAGAGAAATGGTCTGGTTCTTTGAAGTCGCGAGAAGAGTGAACCGATTCAATGAATGGTTGCTTATCCATCAAGAGTGTTCGCATGGTCGGAAAGATGTCATGTTTTTTTTTCTTCCCATTTTAGGGAAACTGGGCATGGGAAGTGACTGGTACAAGTGAATTGACAGTCCAAGAACTTGTGATGATCACACTCCCAGCCCGTCTTGACTACTTGTGAATAAATGGGCGTGAAGGAGTGAAATGTAGGTGGGTGTGAACATCTATATGTTTCAGGTGGGCAGTGCGATAGGCTTCCCTGCCGTTAGCCCAAGCAGGAGCGTCCGGCACCGTGGCTCTGGGAAAGCAGGAAAGACTGCACCACCTGCTCTGTGACCTGCGGGCTCGTGTTGACGTCCTCCAGCGCGTTGGCTACTGCAAACTGCCTGTCCCTTAAACGATTCCAGTTGGACAGAATATTGTGATACTCAAAGACCTTCTCGTAGTTTCCAACTGAGTTGTACAGTTTTATCAGGCCTCTGTAATCATATTCCAGTCCACTGTAACCCTCCCCGAACAGCTTCTTGCCTGCAGGAAATAGACAAATCGTTTATGTTATGTTAAGAACAAGATTTTACAAGAAGAAATGAATCCTTTTATTCAGTAAGAAAACAGTTTTTTACATTGTTACAAAGGATTATTTCAAATAAATGTGACGTGCTGGCAAAATGAGTCAGAACTTACTACTTCCGAGCTGCTACTTTTGGTTGAATTTGAGGTTTTCCCAAAAACAAGTTCATTAAGCCCTTGTCTAATGATCCCAATGCTCCAAATAGCAATTAAACATCTAAAAGTAACTTTCTTTGTACGTTTTCTGAGAGGAGAACCTTTCCTTTATCAATGAAAAATGCCATTTTTCTTTGCTCACTTCTTGATGACTGACACTTCCCCTGAAGCACAAGTTTGGTATAGTTTTCCAACTTTCTGAATATTCATAGTGAATTCTTGATGACGCGAGTCTGAACCAATGAAATGTGATTTTCAAACATCAGCATGAGCCTCAGAGAGTGCGCGATCCCTATATACACTTAATTACAGTTTTTAAAAATTTCCGTCTTGGCGGTTCCCCAAACTGTTGGGGAAAATATAACTTTATAACTATTATATTAGATCTGTGGGTACAGTAGGTCTTAATATAGGCTGTCTGTTTCATGTTAATCAAATAATTGTGGTATCATCATTTTTCTTTTAGATATACTGTATGGTTTTGACTTGGTATGTGCCAAATTTGGTCTTATTACCAGGGATTTTAAGGTATGGTTATTTTGGCTAGGTGATTTTGTTTTGGAACCTTCAGAAAACTTTAACTTGATTTTTCTCAAAATGTATTTAGCAGACTATTATATAACAATAGCTCACTTTTAAAAAATGTGCTCATTGCATCTCATTTTGCCAGTAAGGGTCACACATGCTGTTCTTGGAACTTAAAAAAAAAGTCTAAATAAATATAAAAGCAAACAAAACAAAAACCAATAATTTAATATGTACCAAGTGACTTAATTATATTACAATAGACCCCTTTTCAGTTGGTAAACACGGTGACGTCACGTTTTTATGTGGGCGGAGCTGTAGGTGGAGGCAGAACGATCCCTCTGGCTGCTTCACTAACGCTAGTTAGCAAGTTTTATTAGCTTGTTTCTTTAACAATGACTGGAGAAAATCAGATTTTATCTTAATGTGTAAAGTCACTCACTGTCCAGGACCGCGATTATTATTTTCAAAAGTTAATTTTAACGGACAGAACCGGATTGGCCAACCTGTAGCCTTCACACGCTCACTCAATGCATGGACGATCTGACAGGATTAACGTTACGTTACCTCAGTTGAGTGGCCTGACTTCTACACCTACGTAATAGAAAAACCGATCGTAACGAGAAACTGAGGGCATATAAATCTTTAGATGCCTATAACTATGTGCTGAATGGTCCTGTACAAGACTTGTGTGTATGATACGCAGTTCTGCCTAGCCAGCGCAGAGAATACGACAGTAAACAGTGACATTACGGTGCGATTTTAATGATGTGAATATTTTCTAGAAATAAAAATTCCAGTTACAGCATATTAACTTTCATCGATTCTTGCACCAAACAACACAATAAGATGACATTTAATAATAATAAAAGTAATTTAAGCTCCTTATTATGTAGCCGAATCTGTGCTGGTTTGCATTGGCTGCCTCCAGTTTTCACTTTGTTTTGCCTCCAGCTAGCGCCGTGACGTAACTGTGACGTCGGCGCAAAAGGGGTCTATATGTACATTGCGTACATCCAAAAATGGATATTCCTTTTGAGATTTGGTTTGAACAACATTGTTAAAATGTAAACATTAAATAAATTAAAAAATATAAATCAATTAAAAAGAAACTACTAATTAAGCATTAGATAGCGGCAAAAGCAAACAAAATGCAAAATTAGAGGAAATGAGCATAATTAAACGATTTTGTCCAACAAATATGTCCAATATCAACTGACATAAATAACAATAATTTAAAAAAGACCAACAACTGAACAGGAATGTCATGCATGTCCACCCAAAATGCAACTACAGAAGTAACCCTCACCAATAGCGATGGAACGCAAGTAGAGACGCTCGGCATCATCGTATTGATTCATGTCATAGTTATAGAGCGAGGCCAAGTGTCCCACTGAAAGAGCCACCTCATAGTCCTCCTGTCCCAACAGTTGCTCCTTGATCTGAATGGCCTTGATGTGCATCTCCTCTGCCTCCTGCATTACAAATCACACCATGGAAAGGTCAGTCAGCCCAACAGCGACCTCAAAAGCACTCTGTTGAGTTTGGCTTACACAATAGAAAAAAAACCACATGGCTTTCCCAATGATCCACAAACATCCATATATTAATAAAAAATAATAAAAACCTTGAATTTGCGCATGGATTGGTAGAGGCGGCCCAGGTTGCCGTAGTGTTTCGCCGTCTGAACGTTAAACTCTCCAAAGGCTTTTTTGGCCAACTGGAGAGAGGAGAGGTGCAGATCATGGGCCTCCTGCAGGAGGCGTTCCTCTGTTTCTTTGTTATGACAATCGATGGCAATCTCCTCCAGGATTAGGGCTTGAGATGTAACATCAGAATTACAAATTAGACTGGAGTAACATGATTTTTTAAGTAAAAAAAAGTGAAAAGATATATATCTTTCACTAGAGTGAAAAGATAATGCTACTTTGAACCAATGCTACCATCTTAACGTTGTCGTTCCAGTAATGCAGCTGTGAATGAGCGGAGTTACGAAAGCTTTTCAAAGTGCTAGTCTCACCTTTCACCCTCTTGGACGAGGCTAGAAGCAGATGGTCTTCAGGGAGAATGTGAGTTATGATGTCTATGGCACGTTCTGCGTGGAATCTAAAAGCAAAATTCAAAGTATGAAACTGGTACGTTATTCGATAAACACTTCCCAGAAAAAAACAATTCTAAAAGAACAACTTAAACGTGTTAAAGTTTAGGGCAACTACAGGACATCTGTGTCGTGGACTTCTTAACACTCGAGGGACACATGAAATGATATAAAAGTTCATACGAGATTAGTTGCAAACAAAAATACAAAATTTTATCGAGAAACTGGCAGCTTGCTTTTTAAGAAGTGACCCAAGACACCAATTAAACTATTCATATTTTTATGGTGATCATAATAGGAGGAATGTTTGTCCGAATGATTATGTATTGTTCAGTGTTGCCTAATGAATTCTGTTTTTAGAGCGAGGGAATGCCACGTCACCCAAGATTACAAACAAACAAAAAAGTTAATTTAATGAAGGATTTATTCAGAATGATTCAAATGGATAACATTATTTTTAAACAATTCATTAAGAGAACCTGCTCATAAGAGTCGTCGTTTTTCGAAACATCTACAATCTATGTGTCCAATAATTCTATTTAAAAGCATATGAATGCAAGCACAGAGTAGCAGTACAGGAATCATTGATATAGTTCATTTACCCACCCAGATGTCATCATAATTCTCTAAATTAACTCACTAATGCATCCGGACAGGATTGAGACACTCACAGTGCGTTATCGAATTTTCCAGAGCTGTACTGATGGACGTAGGACGAATACGCCAGGTCCTCATGTGCAGTTGCAACATGAATATTCTTTCCTCCAAACACGGATTGCCGAATATCGAGTGCAATCTGAATGTAGAAAACACACATTGTTTTTCAGCGAATGAGAAAATGTTTTATTTATACTTGCAAAGAACCCAAATTTAAAATAATTCTCAGCTCACCTGGTAAATGACCACTGACTGGCAGATATTATCCACGTTTAAGAGATAAAATCCATAATCTAGTAGTGTATCTGAGTATTTTGGGTGCTTGTGCCCAAAATGTTCCCTGGAAACAAAATGTTGGAATACATAAAGCATTTCATCGCTGTAAAATCAAACATAATTTCATCCTCACACGTGCTTTAAATATGCATGGTAGTTCTTACCGTGCCAAAAAAACTGCATGTTTTATCAGTTGTTCAGCTTTCCTGAACTCACGCTTAACAACACAAGCCTGCAGAGATCAATTTCATGATGTTGTAATGTGACAATGAATCAGAAGTTTACATCTATTAAAAAAAAACTCCAACATCCAGCAATCACTGACCTTAGAGGCTTGTCTGAGAACATCAACTACTACTTTCACAGGTAAGCCGACAGTGATCTCCCTCATAGCCTCTATACACCACCTATAAGCCTAAAACGCATAAGGAACACAACTGTAGAGCAGCCGTTCTCCAAACAGACTTCTGGTATTGTTGCATTGAGACTTACCTCATCATAGTGGCTTTTGGCAAATAGCAGGGCACATAATTCTCCATACAGGGCAGCCTTATTAGCCTGATGGCCGTGTTTGGCTAGTTTGTCCATGTAAGACTGGGCCAGTTTGAATGTCTCTTCTCCCAGGTGGTATTTGCAGTTGCCATTACGCACATGAAGTAACCTGGCACACAAAGTCCCAATAACACATTAGTAAGATATTAATAACACTATGTGCGTCCAAATTTATGTAATTATTCACTATTCTATGCTGTTTTGTAGTATAAATAGTATGAGTAGTGTGCATCACATTTTAAATACCCAGATGATGCACTTTATTAAATGAAAAAAAGATGAAAAAAGACTATTTTAACGATGTCTTTATTAATAACTTTGAGGACGTCAAGTTTCAATCCCTCAAGAAGCCTATGGACTAGTATGGAGGAGTGATCCAGCTCTCAGATTTCATTAAAAATATCTTAATTAGTGTTCCGAAGATGAACGAAGGTCTTACGGGGTTGGAAAAACATGAGGGTGAGTAAATACTGAGAACTATCCCTTTAATGCACTCAACTGTCACAGCTTAAATTACATAACGGAGGGGGAGGGGGGATCAGACAAAATAGCCTTATAAAAATCATGCACAACATGGTTGAGTACATAGTGCACAATGTATAGCGAGTCATTTGGAACACAAGTACTGTTGAAATGACTAACTGGCTATTTACTGCAAGAAGAGACTCAAGCTGAATATTTACTCACCTCACACAGCACTCCACTGCACGATACCAGTGAAGAACCTCATCATGTAATGTGCACAGCTGGAGACAAGACAGAAAGACTTTCTCTGCATCGCCATACCAACCGGCATCTGATAAAAAGCCACCTGAGATGGAAGAAAAGTATTATTACAATTACAACAGCTTGTTATTATAAGCTGAAAGAGCAGAAACATGAGCACCATACCTAAAACAAAGCCAAACTGTATAGCTTTCTCTTTCACGTGCGCATCTGACTCTGCGATGTATGAACATCGGCGGCTGAAGGAGTTGGCCAGGACTGAAGCGACCTTCACACCGTGGTCCATCAGAGCCTGGAAGCAGTGGTGTAAGAGGTGCCTGTGGAAGAAAACATGTTCTGTCTTTCATCTAATCAGTCTCCAAGTTAAAACTGACTTACACATTTTTTTTTCCTGAGGTGAGGATATAGGGATAATTCTTTAACGTTGTGCAATGACAAATATTATAGTAGCATATTTCTACTACAGTTCTAGTATCTAGAGAGCAGATTAGCTTATATAAAGCCAATGCATATAACTCTGCATATAAATGTGTGTGTGTGTGTATATATATATATATATATATATATATATATATATACACACACACTACCATTCAAAACAGTAAGATTTTGTTTTTAAAAGAAATTAATAATTTCATTTAGCCAAGATGCATTAAATTGATCAAAAATGACCAGATAAAGTATTTTTAAATGTAATTTCCACAAAAATATTAGGTAGCACAACTGTTTTCAAAATTTATAATAATAATAAATGTCTCTCGAGCACCAAAACTGCATTAGAATGATTAATGAAGAATAATGTGCCACTGAAGATTAAAGTAATGGCAGCTTAAAATATAGCTTTGCTAAATTAGTAGAGGATTTCCTTTTTGCTGGTTTCTGCATCATGACGAATACCATCACAACATATATTAGTCTTCAACCAAGTCTGGCAAAGATGCCAATGTGAGATTTGAATCATCAGACCAGAATACACACACACTATCTCATTGAGTCTGGCCATCATTAAGGTATGGCTTTGACATATATTACCTTGACAGATTCACTCAGCTGTCAATTACCTTTTGTCAGAGGCCCTGAGGACTTTAGCGAAGACCTCCAGCTCACAAAACTCCCCTCCCAGCTGGCAGAGCCGGCCTTGCTGGTAAAGCTGGAACAAATGAAGAAATGTGAGATTGTTGACCCTACTGCACATGTGACAACAAAGACAAGTCAACTTTACCCTTGGGGGTACCAAGGCCCAGAAAACCAAGAAGAGTAGCAATTATAAAGGCAGAATATGAAATCAGGAAGAGTTTGTGCAATACCAATTTCGTAACATGTGCCAATAACATTTTGTTTGTGTTATGGCACATTTGGTTTTTGACACCAAATTGGCTGATCTTACAAAGAAATGAAAAATAATGTAGTGATTAAATGGTCAAATTATTTAACCCTTACTGTTAAATTTGAAGCTAAAAAGTATGATCATTCTAAGTCAGTGGTTCTTAAACTTTTTGACTCCAAGGTCCCCAATTTTCTACAATAATTGTATTGTAATATAGCTATATATATTCATTTTGTACTACAATTTCTACCCGGCAAAATGTTAGAGCTTGGCATAACTACAAAAATGTATATTGATTATAAAAATTCCCATGGAGTTAAAAGACTCTTTTCCACATATAGGTATCACACTTTTAAAATTAGGCTACTTCATTCATCTAGAATTTTCAAAACAGTGGGGACAATTTCTTCTTCAAAACAAAAAACTTTTTTTAAATAGATTTTTTTGTAGCTTTTTGTCTTTTTCCATGCTTGTTTTGTCTTCTTTTATATTTTAAGTAATCTTTACATCCCCTTGGAAGTTTGCAGAGTCCCTCTGTTTAAGCAGATCTCTACTTTAAGCAAAATAAAAATCTAAAGTCTCCAAACTACTTAGGGAAAGAATAATTACGTCAATAAGCCTTCTATGGTCTAAACTAATGGTTTCCAGTTAAACTTGATTCGTCATTTAACTATATCTTCAAACCAAATAATTGGCAATACAGAAATGCAGAATATGTATTGTCTAATGATTGAAGAATGATGAAAGATTTAAGGTCAGTTGTCACAACAAACTCTGATAGCCTTTGAACACAACATAATGGGATTGGTGGTCTAATCACATATTCGCCAACTTAAATGTCCAAAAAGACAAATCAAATTAAAAAGACATGTGGGCAAGTCAAGCAGGTCACATGAAGTGGCCTTAAAATGCATGAGCAATGTAAATATTTCATACATTGAGCATATTTCATTTAACATAACGATGAATATGAGATAAAATAAGTAATTTGGTCCCATTAGTTAATGAGGTTCTCGAAAATCATCTCTTTTTCCAAAAAAAACCCCCAACGACTCTCAAATCAAGAAGTCATTTAAAAATCACTGGCAAGTAAATCATTAGCTAAGATTAATAAATGCTTTAAAAGTATTTTTCATTGTTAGTTCATGTTAATACTGGAACCTTATTATAGTAGTCACTTTTGTCCTTTCTGTTTATTGTTTTTACAGTAGTTGGTGACAAACCATTCAACCCATATTTGCAGATGTCAATTATGTCATAGAAAATTAGTGAATTCGTTAGAAACACAGTTATGGTTTAAATACTCACATGACATTTTAGCTAGTAGCCATAAATAAGGTTAATAAGGTAAAACGTGAGATGTCATAGTGCTTCATGTTTAACTAACGTTAGTCTTGACCCAGAGAGCTATATCTGATTGAGCAGCAGATTAGCTACAGGCTAAGATAACATAATGTGCACTTCAATCAGTCTTAACCTAAACTGACACACATAAATGAGTGTACTCTTAAACTAGAAACCCTTAACGGTTAAATGGTCTCGTAGCTCGAGTCTCTCATAACTAACGTTAGCGCTGCACTGAGAGCCTGGGTCAGTTTTTGTTAGCCAAGCTGCTAGTGAAAGTGTCAGATGCTTAGGCGTTTGTTCCGCAATGCACTCATTCACTGTTCTTCTTACCTTGTAGTAAACATCAAACTGTATATTTTCAGGCAGAGAGCGAATGTCCCGTCGCGATCGGCCGTAGTTGTCTACCACGGCTGAGATAGCGGTGTTGTACAGGGTCTCAGGGATCCATTCCAGTTCCACCGCGGCCATATTGTTTTCTTTCACTAAATCCAACCACAGCCCCCCCTCTTCCACTCCTACTTTTACCTCCTTCGCTACCTGATCGAGGTAAAACTCTTTACTCTGATGCTCCTCATACACCCCCGCAGCTGGAAGCGCTTTTTGAGTTTGAAACGGACTGTAGTGATAGGGAACACAACCCTAAGGTTATGCTCTCATGTTTAAAGCTCATCCCCGATCGAGATGCCCCGCCCACTCTATGACACTTTAGGCAATGACGTGCGCTAGAGCTCCGTTCGAACTCAGACTGTAGTTCAAAATATCGGCCGCAGGGAGGACGATGGGAATCTTTCAAGAGTAATCAAATTTTTGTCATATATCGATTGGCCAAATAACTGAATAAATATACATTTATTTGTGTTTTACAATTTGTTTTACATTTATTTGTATAATTATTTATGCTACTTTGTTTACTCATTTATTTTTTGCATTTCAAAAAAATATTATTTATGTTTATTTATTTATTATTTCGTCAGATTTGGGGTTCCATATACCGATGGTTCCAGCTGCCGAGCAGATGGAACCGTGGTAAAATATGTGTAACTCAATAGAAACTATAATTTTACATTTATATTATTATTATTATTATTTTTAAATTGGGTGTTTATAAAAGATTCCTTTTAAATGCCTTATAATTGCTTAAGCAAAAATGTTTTAGTGTAATGTAATCTAACTACCGGTAAGACATGACCCAAAGATCCTGTCCAAGTTCAAGCCTATAAATACCTGCAATTTTAGCATGTAAATACTATCAAAGATTTATTAATTTTGTTAATGAGATTTTATTTTTATATTTTCAGTTTCGTAATTTTTAGTATTTTAAGATTTGTTATGTGTTTTTATAAGTATTATTATTATTAAATATTACTGAATTGAAGGTGGGCACCACCTACTGGTCACTACTAGTACAATCCATTTAGCATCATAAGAATATCCTTTGAAATCAGTTGTTACAAGTGTGTTTTTTTTCACCCAATTATTTCAAACTACCTCCCTCCTAATGTAGATTATGTATTCCTTTGTGCCACACAGTAACATGTATTCACAGGGGTTTTCAAACTGGGGTTGCAAGAGAGTGATAGGAGTCTGTGGAGTCCAGATAAAAACTGTTAAAAAAACATAATTTAGATTAAAATAAAAATTAATAATACCTTAAAAATGACATTTATAGTGAGTAAAATATGTGTAACTTAATATAAACTATAATTTTACATTTAGAATATTTATTTTTAAAATTGGTTGTTTATGAAAGATGCCTTTTAAATTTTAAGGTGTGGGTCGATCTTTCACACAGATGATCAAATTTGATCATCAAATTTGGGGGTCTGTGGCATCTAAAAGATTGAAAACCCCTGAGGTATCCTACATATGGTTATTTTGTGTTTTTATCCACATATTATATCTCGTTAGAATAATTGTAATCTTACTTAATTGTAATTTCATTATTGTTCATTGAACAAAAACAAAAAACAACAACAAAACAAAACAAAACAAAACAAAAAACAGACTTTTCAATACTTGATAATGAAAATTGTTAACCTTAAGCAAAAGTCACAAATTACTTCCACTTAAATACACGTTAGTAGACCAAAGCTCCAGGTAAAATATACAAAAGTACATGATTATGATTAATAGCACATAATAATAATTATCAAAATCAATCATAGGTGCAAAACAAAATATAATTTGGCTTCAAAAACCTATTTTTGAAATGTGTCACATATTTGATATTTAAAAAAGGTCCTCACATGTATAACTTAGTACACAATTTAGTAACATATAATACATTTTTAGTGTAATGTAATCTAACTAAGACATGACCCCAAGATCCCTTCAAGTTCAAGCCTATAAATACCTTCAATTTTAGCATGTAAATACTATCAAAGATTTATTAATTTTGTTAATGAGCTTTTATTTTTACATTTTCAGTTTTGTATTTAAATGTAAGATTTTTTGTTATATTTTTTATAATTATTATTTTATTACTATAGGTTTAATTATTATTTTTTAGTTCCTATTTAGTACCAGTTTGTATTTTTAGAGCTACAAAAAAATAAAAAATAAATAATAATAAAAAACTATTTCAGTTAATTACCAAATCAACATTTCCCATTTTAATTTAGTTTTTAATCCAATTGTAATATTTTATTGCATCTTTATTTCAATGAGCAAAAAATGTTATTAGTTGACATTATCTCTGAGACTCTGACTCTATCTAACTGAGACCCTTCGGTGTCAGGTTTATATAGCCTATCTCTAGACCTGTTCTGAAATGATTTTATAGTAACTACCAAGTGACGACAACCAAAAGCATAACGAGACAAAATACAATAGATTTTTATTCCATTGAACAACGTGTCTTACATTGATTTCTGCAGCTGCAGTTCTCAATACAGACAGCAGATGTCGCCGTTTCTTCTCACAGAACAATAAGGAGCGTGAGGCCAACCTACCCTACCGCCTTTATCACTACATATTTACAACAGTGCTCGCCTGCTCACGTTCAGCTGCGCCCATCTAGAGGATAGAGCGAACAGAAACAACACCGTTCCCTACCAAAAACCTGGATACCTCACAACGGTGAGTCCAGCGGACTTTTATGTATATATCTATTTATGTTTTAATCCTGTAAAACAAGATAACATCCATTTATTTTCAGGAGGTAAAATCCCATGTCAGGGATGTAAGCATGGGATCAACAGCAGTCCGCTGCTGGATATAGAGGCGAAGAAAGGACCCTTATCAGGCAGCCACTTACTCATGCTAACTGACCTGCTAACGGCAGTCGGGGGGTTCTTACATTCTCTGTTCATTCTGTTTAGTAGTTTCGCGCTAAAAAATGTGTACTCTTGTGGTCTGTATTTAACAGTTGCAGCTAATTTAAAGGCTTGGAAGCTGATATTGAGCGTTAGCGTTTGGCTTTCCTGCTACTGAAGATTGACGAGTCTCTCGCTGCTCCGGTTAACTGACCGGCCAATTTATATAAGGTTTCTTGTTCTAACGTGTGTTTACCTATTATGTGACTCGTCTGGATTGTATCTCTCTAGCATATAGTGCGTCAATGATACAGCGTAGCAAACCGCTGGTTTATAGGCTACATTGTAATAGAATGCTTAATTATATTGTAGCATTATAGGTGTGAGTGTGAAGGAGGACAGGGAGTCGCCCTCACTTTCCTTTCATGTCAGTGGTCAAGTGCATTTGGTTTATGAATTTATTAACAAAAGTAATGCAATTAAACGAAAATCAAATCTAGCATTCTAATGTTAGTCAATACACAATACATTCTCAGACTAGACACTATTCTCAGATTACTTTCTCTATTATTATGAGGCCATCAAAACTGCATATATCCATTAATGAATGAGCAAAAGTTTATGTAGGTATATGAAGTTTGTGTCATGCACACTGCCGGACACTGATCCCACTCCATTGTGTCATGTCAAAAAAACATTAAAACTGTTGGGTTTTGGAGCTAACCGGTTACCTTACTACATTTTTGTAAGAGACTTTAACTTTTTTTATATGCTTGTTCAAACATGCTGAGCATAATCGGGATATTCCAAAACCCTCATGAAATTCAAGCTAATGTTCTGTGCTTTAAAGAGACTGATGCAAACGAAAATGAGAATAACTTGTTGGACTAATGCATTGAGAAGACATCTTTAAGTGCTTTCAGGCTCAGGCAGTGTCTTTATTTTGATTACCATTGTCCACTTAATACTCATATTCCATTTTATAATCATTATCATATGTTATTTGTTTTAGCTAGGTTTACTATGTGTTGCATTTATATATTTTTGCTGAACTCAAATTATAAATAGTAGTACAATTAGTAGAGTAGGTAGTATTAAGTACTATCATTGAGTATTGCTTTAAGTCTGCATCAAATCTTTTATGGGGTAGAATTGCCCAAATTGCCTTCCTGTATTATAGGGAAGAATTTGGCCCCTGGTTAATGGAACTTGTTTGGATGATGAAGTCTCCTGCTGGTGGGAAAATAGGAATGTTAGAGACCCGTGGCTTTGATAGCACCTCCCCAATTCCTTAAACCCTGTTTGTTTCACATCCTTTGGTGAAATAATGATGCGTGTCTTTCTAAAACTTGTCAATTTTGCTGTTCCGGTGAATATTATCATGCTACATTATGGTACAGATGTCTCTTTCTTGAGTGAAGGCCAGTCAGTGATTTAAACTACATACTTTACCTTTCCACAAAGTAATTGCATATTGTATTGGATATTCAGTTTAAATTTAGTTGGAAGTTATGACATGACTACTAGAGTCGAAAATATTTTCATTGTGCAAAGAAACAAGAAAATTGATACTATTATTGATGTTGTATTTTTCTCTCTCCAGGGAGCCATAATTAATCCATTCTGGATGTACAGAAGCCGCTCTGTCTCTGCATGGAAAAATCTCTCACTTCTAAAAACATTGGTGCTTCTGTAGTGGAACGTAGACTGCTTTTGGGGACAGTATGTTTAACTTGATCAAAAAAGACAAGGAGAAGGATGGAGTTAGGAAGGAGAAAAAGGACAAGAGAGACCGGAGGGAACGGATGTCTGCGGCTGAGCTTCGAAGCCTCGATGAGATGAGCATGAGGCGGGGCTTCTTCAACCTCAACCGGAGTTCCAAGCGTGACTCCAAGAACAAGTTGGAGATCTCCAACCCGATCCCTATTAAAGTTGCCAGCAGCACTGAGCTCAACCTGACTGACATTGAGTCGGATGGCCTCAGTAACCGCAGCAGCATGGTCCTAGATGCAGATCAGCTCAGCGCGGCCAGTTCCAGTGATGATCTGAAGGGCGATTATGTTCAAGATGGCCATCGGAGCTCTGTCAAGGAGCGGGCAGCTAGGTTTGGCTCCCTCGCCATGCAAAACTCACAAATGGGTTCCATCATGAAGCGCTTCTCCTTTTCTCAGCGGAATAAAGACGAAAGCCAGTCCGAAGGTTCCACACCTTCAGGGCAGAACTCTGCTGCCCCATCGCCGCAGGTAGAAACCAAGATCTTTGACCCCCAACGTAAGCCAAGTCTTCTACATCAGCAGCAGCCTCCTGCTGGGAAAAAAGTGCAGATTCCTGAGGTTGTGGATAAGACGTTTCCTGCGGATCTCCGCTTGCCTGCTGTCGTGCCACCGCAGACGCCTGAAGTTCGGGAGCTGGTTCTCCAGAGACGTAACACTGGAGATTTCGGCTTCTCGCTGCGGCGCACCACCATGTTGGACCGCGGCACGGATGGAACGGTATATCGCAGAGTGGTCCATTTTGCGGAGCCAGGTGCCGGCACCAAGGACCTGGCACTTGGTTTGGTTCCTGGAGACAGGCTGGTGGAGATCAACGGGCGAAATGTGGAGAACAAGAACAGGGATGAGATCGTGGAGATGATTCGGCAGTCAGGCGACACGGTTCGGCTTAAAGTTCAGCCCATTCTGGAGTTAAGCGAGCTGAGCCGATGCTGGCTGAGGAACACCGAAGGGCTGCGGCGGGAAGCATTTGACGTAAGTCCATACTTTGTCTCTCTTCTCTTCTCTCATTCACGATCACAGGCTTTCCAGGCAACTCCCCACAAGCCTGCCCAGCTCTTGCACATGTAGAGCCAATTGGCTCTTCTCAAGAGTACAAGCACATCATTTAAGTTGAACATGTTCTTGTGCAACAGGAAGCGGATTCCTTTCCAGGATGAACATCTGTCACAATGTGTCTAACAGAATCTTTTCTTCCTCCAGCTTTCCACAAGTGATAACTTTAATGACAGGCTTTGAAATTGTTTTGTTTTTTCTTCACAGTTTGCACAGTGCAACAGTAAATCCAGAATTTCCCCCATTACAGTTTCCACTTTAGTTTTGGTATATGCAACTATTAATTGCATTTGCTGTTGATTAGTAAAAGAGAAAGAGGCTGGTTAGGGACTATTTTTTTTTTGTGTGAGATGAGTGTGATGAATGGGTGAAAAATCTCTTTCATGCTTTCCCTTGACAGAAGGAAACATTTACAACCTATCTGTAATGTCCTTGTTGGATTACAGATAAGAATTGCACTTTTGCATAAATGTTTTATTATTTTCGGATGGGCGGAGGTTGTGTCTTCATTATCTAGTATGTGTGCCGCTACTGGTCTAGATTCAATCTTGTGTTGTCGTGCCAAGTTGCATATGTTGGTGCTGAGACGAATCACAAAGCTTCTTCCTACAGTAACTTCTTGTGGGTGTTATGCAAGACTTCTTGATAACTACACATTGGATTCCTAGAATTTAGCAATGCTGTTTACTTGCTTGGAAAACAGTACATTCAGTTAACATACTCGTTTGCTATGTAATGGGCAGTCTGGAGCCCTAAGTAATTTGTAAAAAGGTATTCTGAAGCTGAATGATGAGCCATCTGTGAAACTTTAGAGTGGACAACAGAGAGGTGTGACATGCAAGTGAGTTTTGAAACGGTGAATCAGAGGGTTTGAATCATTAAATCCAAGTTGGTGTTTGTGAAGGAAAAAAGGTGTTGGCTGTTTAATAATTATTCCCTTCAGTTTGCTGCTTGCTGACAATTATGAATTTAAATGGTCCCTTTGCAACTACTAAACTTTTCATTAGCCTAAAACAACCCCCCCCCCCCCCAAATGGGGTTTCACGATCCTCGAGAGGTTGAACCGTTCAATATGCGAGATTGTGCTAAAAATGAAATGCTCAGTTAAACTGGTTAAAAATGAAACGACTCAATTTTCAAAAAGTTTTTTTTATTACATGAATAAATGTGAGATTGGTTGTATAATGCTAACACATAAAAGGTTAGCATTACAATTTGTTGGTGGGTGATGGCCATTTTCTCACATAACACTCGCTAAACTCGTTTTCTAGTAAACAGTTCTGCTATTTACACATGTAACAGCTTTTTTTCTCCTATATGTATTTCTACCATTCAGACTGCTGTTAACACCTTACTCATTTGATTCAGCGTCTGCCCAATTCGATGACATTTATTTTACAACCACACATAGTGTGTAAGCTAGATGGTGTGCAAAGTATTTGTGCCAGTTCCTTCACAACTTTGTGATTGTTTCAAACATTTTGACACTTCATATGTCAGAGCATTCCAACACATACATGTTCAAACTGCTATTCTTACAGCTAAGAAATAACAATTATGGTTGAATCAAATCCTCCACTAAATGGAAGAATTCTGTTGTTTACAGAAAAAGCTGTTTGGTTTGGCTGAGAAAAAGTTATGAATCCAAGGCAGGCTTAGACTTCTGTAATGTACGTATTAGCCACAGGAACATTTGGGTTGCGGAATATAGAGTGTTAAAAGGAGTTATGAGTGTTTTTGTACTTGTTGAAATAGACCTTGGTCTCTTTGTAGTCAGTCTTGGCCTTGAGCAGAGCAGGTGAAGAGCAGCTGTACTCCTGCAGGCCGAATAGATCTACAGGTGCCTGACAGCACAAAGACAGAACACTTGCTCATCTTTGTCATCTTCTTCATCATTACTACATTTACATGATGGTAAATGATCTGTACGGCCTAGAGTAAGAAAAACCTCCTCTCGGATTCAGCGTTTGTGTCTACGATAAATCTTAACTCAAGCACTAACATCAGGCTAATGGTACTGTACTGCTGTAATGGGCTTAGAAAAATAAAGCGATCATCAGCCCTGCCTGTTTATGCAACCACATGTTTGTGAAGGACTCCCTAATGGTTTTTCCTATGGAATAGTTTTAACTTTTGTGGCGGCATCATAAATTAAGCACTTTCAGGAAATCTAAGATTTGTTTAGCTTAAAGGTTTGAGTGATTTTTGCCCATTTGGTGACAGACCATCTCGTAACAATTAGAACGGTTTATCATGTGCTTCTGCAAATTTGGCAGGCACCTCCATCTCATACCAGAGTGGTTCTGCTGTGCTATTTTGGGTTTTACCAACAAACAAGAGGGGCTTAGTTTGCTGCATAGTTCTCAGTCAGCCTCCCGTTGTATTCATTATGGTTCATTATATGGCCTCAGGTCAGTGGGAGTATTCTGTGCAGCATGTGTCACCCTGACTCTTGCCCCCTCTGTCTATCGCTCTCTCTCGGACAGCGATCATAATCTTTTGGCAAGCTCTGCTACAGGCATTGTCTGGAACATCTAATATGTCCTCTGAGAGTATTCATTTTGGGCTTCTTTTGTTGTGGAGCCGTTTTAAAATAAAGATGGGCTGGAAGTACTCGAGTGACAGTAGTGAATGTTTTTTCAAATTAATATTTCAGTGATGGACTGATATATCGGCCAATCAGTTTATTCCGGCAATATTGGGACATATTGAGATTATTGATCAAATAAATAAGTATCAAAAGTGTTTTTCTATTCACTTTATCACTGTCAAATTCTACTGACACACATCATTGTCAATGGATATAGTATTTTTGTTTTCAAATATCTATTGATTGAATTTTTTTTGTTTGTTGTGTAACAATACCCTCTTGTCACGATTTGATACATATAACGATAGGATAATATTGCGATACTCCAAGACATATATGGTAAAAGGTTAAAAAAAACACTAGTATATGGTGGCATCGTGTAATGAAAAATAAAAATCGCTAGTTATACCACTAACAAGGCTCACACTAACACAGTAACATAATGAGGGTCCCTACATGCAAAATGAAGCATTGAGAACTTTGTAAGTGTACAGACCGTTTAATAAGAAGATACTTTATAAAGACAGTCCACTTCGTGTACAGACAGGAGCCATCTTTGGAAAACAGTCTCGATAAGCCGAACCACGAACACCATTCATACAGTTCAGCTCACTTGGCACGTCGTTCGTGGTTCGAATGCCTGTATACACGAAGTGGACTGTCTTTATAAAATATGTTCTTATTAAACTGTCTGTACACTTACAAAGTTCTCAATGATTCGGTTTGCAGCTAGGGACCCTCATTATGTTACTGTGTTAGTGTGGGGCTATTTTGAGCCTTGTTAGTGGTATTAACTAGCGATTTCTTTTTACTTATTATATGCCCCATATAATAGCGTTATAATCTAAACAGTTTTTAGAGATAAAACTCTTTACATTCGATTATCATGAAAACAAATCTCAGAGAACGGCCGACTAGGTACCGATGTTTTATTAGACCAAAGGTTCATTTTGCGCCGGAGTTCTCCATTAAGAAATGTATGCGAATCGAGTGGTTTAAGTCTTCTGAAGAGACACAATCTCTATATGGACTAGACTTTCGTGTTCATCTTGTGTGATTATTGAGTTGTATAATCTATATAAAAATATATTGACCACCCTAGCTTTCCATATCACCGCTGGTCATTAAGAAATCCATAAATGTCATACACTAATTTGCATTTGACTTTTCAAATGCACAGCAATACTCAACATGCTTAAAATCAGTATGCAAAAGTTCCATAAAGTTGCCTCAATTTTAATGATTTGATTAAGACGCCAACTTTGCAATCGGGGAACACGGCTACACGGAGCACAAGTGAATGGAACAAGAGTGTTATAAAACATGTTTCCTAAATTTTATCTGTTTTTGATTGCATCCCTATTATAAAAGTTATTGTGGAACAGAATGTTTGACAAACAGGAAGTGAGGAGCTGGACCTTTGTTCTGGTGTGAAATGAATGTGGTCTCGGGTAGTCTCGTTTTGTAGCACGTGTCTGTGTTTGCATGTGTGATGTCTGGAGTGCTGTACTGATTGATGGGCCTCACTGAGCAGCGGGAGCCACTCTCGGCCCCATTGTCTCAGAAAACAAATAGCAACTGCTTTATCATCAATTCAAATAAAGAAGAGCCATAAAACGATCATGTTCCCAGTGCAAACAAAAGCCAAGCGGAGGGAGTTCATGAAGGTCTCCTCCAGCAGGCATATTTTATAAAGTCAGGCACAGCCGGACCCTGCTGTTGTCTTGATTGACCTTTTACTTTCTATGTCTTATGGCTCAGTTTAGCTGTTTTTGAGTCTTAGGTTTAGCAATGTTTTTCAGGACAAAGTCTGATGACCTAGGTACTGCACTGAACTGAACTGAAGAAATAAATTACTAAATTTGTTGCTAGGGTGCTCTTGACCGAAATCAAAAGTCAATCCCAAAGTCTCAATGATATTTATAGATGACATGACTTTGTCTCCATCGGTTTAAGTATACAGCATTTTTTGCCGTTTTATAATGGACCTTTTTTTATTCTTGCTTGGTAATTTGATTACTAATAATTATATACGCATGTTATGGAAATATTTTTGACGTCCTGACCTTTTGTATGGAGTTTGGCAGAATGGGAACTTCGCAAATAGGAACTTCCCCTTCATTGCAGGAATGTCTTTGGAGCAGCTGAAGAATGGTATGTTATTCCCGCTGTTCCCTATTCCTTAGAAGAGAGCACAACAAACTTACAGGAAGTCCTCTATTCTTCTAGGCATTGACCAGTGTAGTCAGGATGTCCTGAGATGTCCGTGAGGAAGCCAGAATAGAGAAGCCCGCTGAAACAAACAGGTAAAACCGTCTATTTACAGCAC